AGCAGTTATGGCTGCTCTCAGTTCCGTCCCCAGGGACTCTGCCTCTCAGAGTCCCAGCAACCACTGCAAACGGAGGAGAGAAAGCTGCCTTCGAGTTCCGACCGAAGCCAGACAGTCCCGCTTCTCCCGTTTGAGTCTGGGTCCCTAGAGACTCCGGATCTGGAGCTCAGAGTCTGAAACTCCCTCCCGATAGAAAGCAACAACCGCGCCCTCAGCCTCCAGCCCACTCCGCATGCACTCTGCACCTTAGTATTTCACTTCAGCACTGCGCCTCCTCTGAGTCTCGGTATGCTATTCTCTTTCCTCCTAGTTGTAGAACTTCCACTCAGCCAGCCTTCCTGTGGTTCTGGATGATGTCCGTTCCGTCTTTTAGTTGTATTTTTGAAGTGGTTGTTCGAGGCAGCAAACTCCGGCGTTAACCTATGCCGCCATCTTGGTTTCTCCTGTAGAATTCTTTAATCAAGTTAAAGCTGTTATTTTTTATGGCTGCAAATTAGTCATTAAATTACTATTTGGTTATGTTGTTTTTTTAATATACAATACTATATATGGAAATTAACTTTATAGTGAATATAGTGTTTTCTAATCATTGCCAAAGGTAATGGTCTCAGCACTTAAAATATCTTAAAGCAGTTGAAATAGTTAATATTTTGAAGTAGTGAGAAAATTAATTTCATTTACCTTTTTTTGATCAAACTATAAAACACTTAACTCTTAGTAAAATACTGATAACCTTAACAGTATTCAAGGCTCATTAGTTAACACTGTTTAGTTGGTATTTATAAGATTATACTAATTCCTATGAAGACAGCAAAAACAAATGATATCTGTATGTCTTCAAAGGAAAAACAAATGACATCTGTATGTCTTCAAAGGAATATATATTACTATATATTTCTTTATTGGAACTATATATCCCTTAGTTACAACAACTATCAGTCTTAGAATAAGAGTAGGGACAGAGATAGATTGTGCTTAAAAGTCTTCTGCTGCTTTATAGAACCATTTGGAAATTCCAGTAGAGCAACTGATGCTAGAACTTAATTTGTCAGAGCATGCTCACAAAAGAACACAGGTGGGATTTTATTCATCATACTCCTTTCCTAAAGTATTATTTTCTTTAAATGCATGTTACTAAAGTGTTGCCCATGGCTTTTCTGTTATCAGAATAGTAAACAAAGGACATTTCAGTTATGGAGTTATCCTCTTAAAGAAGGAAGTATCATGGACAACAGGTAAGAGGATATTTTTGTAAACCCCTAAATTAGTGAAATAAATTTAAATACAGATGAGTTAACTATTTATCTGAAATACTAGGACAAAAAACTACTAGAAGAAAATGTAGTGTGTCCAAATAATGGGAAAGTATAGAAACTCACATTAAACTAGAAAGTGACTGGCAGACACCACAGAGATAATCAGTATATGGGTAATTGAGAGTTTACTATGCCGTTACAATTGAGGGTTTCGATGGATAGAGTTTAGAATTCTTATTGAAAAGGAAAGGAATTGTAATAGGAAAGTAATATTCCATGTGCTAGGAACAATTATAATTTCTTGTATATATTAACTCATTTAATCCTCACAACAATCCCATACATAGGTAGCTATCATCATCCCTGTTTTACAGATGAAGACACCGAGGCATGAGGACAAGTTAAAGAACTTACCCAAAGTCATACAATTAATGAATGGTAGAATGTAAAAGTAGCTTGATTCATGCTCATAATCACTATCGTATATTGCTTCTCAGACCTTACCTGGATTTGAATTCTTATATTTTGGTTCTTAAACTTTAGTGTGCATTAGAATCAGCTATAACGCTTCTGAAAAATGCAGGTTACTATTATTTGCAAATTAACATTTATTGAACACCATTATGTGTTACTTTTACATAGAGTGTATTATTTAATGGAGCACTTGAGACAATAGGGTGGGTACTTGATAGCAGACATCTCCTAGTCAGAGGGTTTTTACACTTTGTGAGGCTCAGGATACTGCTAAAATTTGAAGGGGGAAACCAAGAAATGTGAAAGAGATTGTATTGATTAATGTCCTAAGGTAATGTTGGTGCTGATGAGGATAGGAAAGGCTATTTTTACTAGAAAGAACTCGGCTGGGAACAAGGATTTCAAGGTAAGAGGTCAAATGAAATGATTTCTATTATACTAACAGAAGAGCAAACAGTAGATTGCAGGCTAGGGTCCCAGACATGGGATCCTACCACCTGAGTTTAAATCCCAGCTCCACTAGATGTGTGACCTTAACTGCCTTGCCTCATTTACCTTACCCATAAAAGGTAGAACATAAAAATGCCTATTTCATGAGGTTATTGTGAGGACTAAACAGAATAATGTGTTTGACAGGCATTTGCTGTTAATATTACAGAGTTGGAAATGTTATCAATGAAATATTTCATTATGGAGATTTTTTTCTCTTCAATATAACAAGTAAAGAGAATAAAAGTAATGGTAACTCATTCAGTGTTTAACATTTTTGCAAAGTATGTTCATATAATCATTTTATTTCTTAGACCACCTCCAAGGTAGGCGTTCTCATTTCCATTATGCTCAATGTTGAAAAAGGGGTTCAAACCTAGGTCTTCTGTCCCTAACCATGTTCTTTTTACTACACTACAGGGATTGTGTCTATTATCAATTGCAGATTTAAAATAATCTTTCTGTGGTTTTTCAAAGGCAAGTCGGGGGTTGGGGAACGTCCAGCCCCGTGAAATCATTTGGTCTGGCCCTGCCAAGGTATTAGGGATGAGTTAAATGTTTGACCAAATATAGCAGGCTAATTTTTAAGTTGATCATTTTGTATTGTCCACTAATTGTGTTATAAATATCCAAATGACCCTTGGCAAAAGAAAAAAGGTTCCCCACCACTGAAAATGAATAAATTACCATTTTCTGTAGAAATGAAAACATTTTTCATAATCTTTCGAGATTACTTTGCTGTCTTTACTATAAACTGGCTTTAAAAGAAGCAAGAATTAATGAAACTATATTCAGTGTGTCCCCCCCAAAATGTATACACACAATGTCTATAGATTCTATTACATTTTGAAAATGAAATATATTTTAATAAACACTGCCTTTATAATTATTCAAAGTATATATACATTTTTTAGAACACCCTGTACATATGTCATTTAATCGATCAAATCTTTCAATGTCAGTATTTCTAGTAAGCCTTTTTTAAAAAATTAAATCTTTATTGTTCAGATTACAGTTGTTCCTCTTTTTTCCCCCCATAGCTCTTGCCACTCCCTTCTGGCCTGCAAAGTTTCTGTTGAGAAATCAGCTGACAGTCGTATGGGTACTCCCTTGTAGGTAACTGACTGTCTCTTGCTGCTTTTAAGAGTCTCTCTTTGTCTTTTGCTCTTGGCATTTTAATTGTGATGTGTCTTGGTGTGGTCCTCTTTGGATTCCTTTTGTTTGGGGTTCTCTGTGCTTCCTAGACTTGTAAGTCTATTTCTTTCACCAGGTAGGGGAAGTTTTCTGTCATTATTTCTTCAAATAGGTTTTCAAAATCTTGCTCTTTCTCTTCTTCTGGCACCCCCATAATTCGGATGTTGG